CAATTATAAATCTTAATGCCCCGTGATAAAACAGAGTACACAGATGGGCAGAATGTGCAGAGACATGTAAATTGTATCATCATAATCTAGGAGGGGTAAAAAAAGGCGATATCAACAAGAGAAACAGATAATATTGTATTGTGATTGATAATAATATAAGTATTTGTATGAGGCCACAGTTTCAATAGAAATGCCTTTAGCAGATACAAGAGAGGGAAGTACTGCAAGCATGCTTTTTGTATTTGAGAAAAATACAACCTTGTTTTTTACTGCATTTAAAACCAAAGCTGACACTATGAATGTATAAAATCAAAAGATAGCTGTAATTTTTCAAAAACCACATCGACAGTATGAGCACAACAGTAAATAATTGTATCAGCTGTGTAAAAATTGACAGATGCATTTAGATTTTGTCCCAAGTCATTAACAAATATTGACGCGATGCTCAAAGTCAATATGTGGCTTAAAGGAAAGATTTTTATCAATCACAAAACCCAAGTATTTGTATGAGGCCACAGTTTCAATAATAATGCCTTGAGCAGATACAAGAGAGGGGAGTACTGCAAGCATGCTCTTTCTGCAGGCACTTTTGTGTTTCAGCATTTACAACCAGTCTGAGCTGACTCTGTGACTGTATTCAACCAAAAGGTAACTGTCATTTTCGAAAACCACGTTGACAATATGAGCACAACAGCAAAATAATTGTATCATCTGCGTAAAAATGGACAGACGCATTTAGATTTTGTCCCAAGTGATTAACATAAAAAGTAAATAACCCTGCCGCACTCTGTTGGTGACATTTAAAAAACTGGAAGAGAGACCATTGAGCTGCACATACTGCCACGGTGGGAAAGGTAATTTGAAATCCAGCCAAATGTTTGGTCTGAAAGTCATATTTCTAATGGCCCCTGAGATAAAATGCCATGGTCAACAGTGTCAAAGGCTTTTGATAGATCAATAAAAAAGGGCAGAGTGTCGGGGCTCTTCAAAGCTTTGCATACCTCTTCTATCACAACTCTTAACACATTTACTACTAAATACAGACCTGCAATAGAAATATATCTAAGAGCATGCCTGTGGATGACAAGCATTACATTAAGCCCATGTAGGCCCTGGTTTTTCTATAAAAAGATTGATTACAAGATTGATTTTGTATACACACATGTTGAGGAGCAAAGAGGTGGAGTCACTGCCAAGAGGTGACCTCAAGTGTAGTGGGTAATTTTTTTTTCTAGGGTCCCCAAAAGCAGTGCTTGTTACTGTAACCACCATTAAACATTTATAGTGAAAAAGCTGGCAGGAGTCCTACATCAAACCACCTTATCATCAATCAAATCTAAGTAAATCTGTAGAAGTTACAATAATATATGCAGATGAAATGTTAACTTAGTCTTAGTCTACAATGTTTAAATTACAGGCTGTCAGCAGCTGTCCTATCTTATATGGCAGCAATAGCTGCAACAAGCATTGGGTGGGGGTACATGGAGTGTACGAGACCATACTTATTTGAAGGCTTAAGTAACATTATTTTGGATTTTTAGATGATAGAAAATATAAATATAATATGAATTAAGTTATATTAATACTTACAAATATAGAAATTAAAAGGTTTCTTTGTCTCATCCTGCAGCACAATACAATTATACATGGGCGACTAAAACTCTGAGCCACAAACCTGGGGCTGTTAGACTGAACACTGGAATATTATTGATATTGATTATTAATACATTATTAATACACTATTTTTTTCTGCAGCGGGAAACATTGCATCAAAGCACAGGACTACAGCATTATTTGTAGTTGAATGAAGTTGCCAGGTGAAACTATAAACTCTGATGTTCTCTTCCTAGTGTCCAATCATTCTCTCCCCAATGCCACCTTTCCTGTTTTTGACACGTCTCAGTATTTTTTAGCCCCCCATTCTCAGTTTCTCCCAAGTCTTCCCTCTTTTCTGTTGATTTTTTCTTAATTAAATTAAAAAAAATGTATTTTTATTTTTATTTTTTTATTAATTTACTGGAAAAAGTTTTCAATCTTCCATTTCTCAAACCAAGAATACTCAGTTTTAGAAGAAAGTTACTCCTCTCCCATTTTAATAATACTTTATATTACTATAGGACCTCAATAGCTATGTCAGAATCAGAAGACTTTATTTATCCCCAAGTGGCAATTAACATACAACAGAGCAGCATGAAGTTGAAGATAAGGACAATAAGAACAGGCAATAAGAGTGAGATGAAGTTAAGGACAAATTGGAAGAGAGCAATGTTGGCTGGAACTGCTAGAATAAACTCTTAGAAATGACTGGTTGGCCTATAACCTTTGAAACATATGTTAAACGTATCTCGTCAATGATATTAAGCAATTTTAAGCCAGGAGGAACATTTGTGTCATGAGGTTCAGAATCAGTTTTTTTGCAAAGAGGCATTTATATATGTTTTAGTTATGAATGTAAAATGCTCATTGGCATTAAAAAATCTATTTTTCAAGAATGTAGACCAAGAGGACAGCAGAAACCGCAATAAATATAACATAACAGTTCTACAAAGATATTAAGTGGATTAATGCAGAACTATTTAATGCACAATATATACAATAACGCAGTCTACCATTAAAATGACTTATTTATTAATGAGCCCATTAATAATTTGTCAGTTACAACTTCATAGAATAATTTAGGATCAAATCGACTTGAAAAACAAAACAAAACAAAAAACAAAAAATAAATGAATAACAGAACCTTAACATACTTCACGGCCACTTTCATTACTTTAAAGTTTTTAAAAAACTGTTGAGCTAAGTCTCGGATTGATTTCTGTTTTATTCACAAACGCCAACAGTCAGTACTGATTACACTGGTACCTGGACGGGGTGCACACGGGGCAGGTGCTGTAAAAATCTGTGAATCGGAGCCCTTCAGCTGCCAGGCGGTCCAGGTTGGGAGTGAGTGAACTAGGATGTCCATAACAGCCCAAGTCCCCGAAACCTAAATCGTCAGCGAAGAGGAGGACGAAATTCGGCGGTGAAGCAGAGCAGGTGCACAAAAGTAAAATACCGAAAAAGGCGAAGCAGCTGGATCCCATGCTTTTCCGTCTTTAAGTCTGACTGATAGTAAGGAAGCGTCAGATCCCTATAAACAGTGATGTGCGGATCGATACTGGAATATCGATTCTTCCGATAGCAAATATTTGTGATCTAGACTCAGTTCTTATTTCAAAATATCGATATTTAGGAAATTTGTGGTAAATTTGTAATTTGTGATTAATAGGAACACAGTGGAAAGTAACTATATTATTGGGACTGTCTAAATGATTGGCAGGAACTACTTCTTCATCCTCCTGTCATAGTGATATACAAAACACAGCTGTATAAATGCATCATGGCTCTTCACTCAGTTGATAACCACAAGAGTCGCCGCGTGTGGGCCAGTCGCAGCTCTACAAACAACCAAGACGCGGTTTTTGAAACATTTTGCAAGGCCACAAATTGTACAACTGTATAGTGACAATAAAGGCATTCTATTCTATTCTAAAGTAAATTATAATATCAGAAAATGATGATGAGGCAAACTGAGGGAGGAGGAGAGGGACAGGAGCTGCTAGTCCTTTTGCACCATCCAGCTATAGAGAGAGAAAATGTGAAGCTGCTGGTGACATGTAGCCCTCTTGCTGAATTTTTTTAAAGTATAGAGGTGGGTAGATTGATCCAAATATCGATAGTATTGATACCAACACTTGTATCAGTATCAGATCTATACTAACGCTGTTCGATATTTTGTTTCTATCCTCAAAGTCCAGTATGTATCCCCCTGTCCATCCAAATGAATGTGGCAGCTGATTTTCTGATGATGATAGAGAGTACCAGGAGCTATTTTTTTATGTATTCTCACATACATGTTTCTGTGAGGTGGACAGGAAAACAAAAGTGCGACTCTACCTGCATGTAATCAAGCTGGCATCATGTGAAAAGAAGAAACACATGGCATGGGAGCATTTAATATGTGCTGTACGTTCTGCATACAGACAACTGTGCGTGTGAGTCTGTGTGTGAGGAGGAAGGTAATGTTTTTGATAGTGATGGAGGCAAGTCGGAATGGAGGTTAGAAAGCTAGTCCCAGTCACATAAAATTATTACATTTTACACAATGGAGTTTAGGAAAGTCTAGGGTTATGCAAGCATTGTTTGACCAAGTCATTATGAACTTCTCAGAAGTCCTCATACACAATGGTGTGTGTGATATGTCTATCAGTTAGCTTGCGTGCTGTCTTGCACCATTGTTGCCATCTTAGGGAACTAGATACTTTGCTTTATCATTCACTTTCACATCTCTGTACAGTGCTAACCTAAGGGAGAAACAAGCTGTTGGATGATGGAAAAACAAAGAAAACAACAGTCAGTGAGAGATTTTGAAAAAGTACCTTGCTGCAGCAGCTCTCTTCATCTAATCTTCTCCAACACAGAGCACTCTAACAATCTCTGCAGGGAACAACAACCCTGGAAGGAGGCAGCGATGCCCCTGCTTTTCCATCAAATGTGTTCATGTTATATTTAAGACAAAAAGAAAAATCTAGCCAAGCTGTCATGCTCAGCTCAGGTAAACAATGAGTCAGTCATTAGTCTGGTAGAGCTAATGGAGCACCTATAGCATCATTAAAAATCATTAGAAACAAATATTCAGTAATGACTGGTATATGTTTGCCACAAATAATAATAAATTTGAGGGTGTTTTCCAGACCCATCTAATTGTTCTCCATGAGTTACAGAGAAGAAGCAGGAGAGCCACTATGGATAAATGACAGTCTATGCACTACACAGGCTGCCTGCATTGTGTTTTAGTAAAAGACAACTGCTCCGACCTTTTATTGCGAGTAAATGAAAAAGAGTATGTGACAGAACAACATATCTGATCTTGTATCTTTCAAAACAAAGACTTGTGAGTTTCAACGGAAACAAAAAAATCATTTGCCTTTTCATGGGTTTGAAAATACATCTTGAAAATATATGATTGATGTCTGAAACTTTATTGTTGTCTTCATTGTTTAGTTAACTCATGATGTTATGAGTGAAAAGGGCTTACCAAGAATTCCTTGAGTGGAAATTAGAAATCAAATAAAACAATACTCACAGCACAGAAGAAAGATGATACAGTACACTGTTAAACATTAGTTATAATTTTAACAGTATCAAATTTGAGAAAATCATCTCCTCACTAAGGGAGCACATTTACTTTACATTCATTTTCCATTTCCAGTAATTAAAACTCTCCACAGGAGAGCAGCACTTTAGTCCAACTTTCCCTTCCTTCCTTAAGCTGTAACAGTTTTTCTCATCAACACTGACAGCAGCTAGGTTTGGGGCTACACTCAGGGTTGCAGCAAGGCTCGAGGTTGGGGTCTGTTCCTTTTGCCACTTGGCTCTCTCCAAACACCATGGAGGATTCAAATTGCTCCTTAACTGTCTTGACCTGTTGCAGCACAGATTGGATGTCAGGTGTATCTACTGGCAGAGCATAATGCTCACATGGGTCAGCCTCCAGATCAAATATCAGAGGAGGGTCATGAGCCTTGAAGACTGCTGTTTCTGGGCAGTCTTTGTCTGGTGTAGTACTGCTGTGGAAAGCACCTGATGTACAAACATGAACAGGCAGGAATTAAGACCAACTAAAACTTGTGACAGTGTGAACTTGCAATATTCAAAATATGACACGTAGTACCTTGTGTATAGAAGTGAGCCTTGTATTTTCCCAGCCTTACAGCAAAGAGGCCATATTTTTCACTGGGATCTACAGGGTAGAAGATCATGGCTTCCCTTTTACTCTGTAAAACACAGAGAAAATACACACGAGCTTGGTTTTTCCATTATTTGAGTGTTTGCACAACTTTAAATACAATGCTCCTACCTTTCCTTGTTTAACAAGGATATCCGTCATATCGACCCCATCCAGCATCACCTGTGGTAGTTCAGCTCCTGCCAGGCGCGCCAATGTGGGGAGGATATCTAGAGTGCTGGCCATCTCATGAGTAACACCTTCAATAGATTTGTTCATAAGAAAACAAAAAACAAAAACAGCAATCACTAAAAGGCTACATGTACATAAATTATTTTTAATCAGTGTTGGGGAGTAACAGAATACATGTACCACCATTACGTATTTAAAATACTGTATTCCGTTACAGTTACCGTTTAAAAAGGTAGTCTTCAGAATACAGTTACTTTGTTGAAATAGAGATTACACTGCGGTCTTTTCCTGTTTCATATGTTAGGCTGTCCCCTCTCTATTTTTGGTAATTAGACGCCGGTGAAAACCCAAACAAAACACGCAATAAGAGGCTCAAATGCCTGTGTCTCAATCTCGTGGCCCCTGTCACCTCTACTTGCGGCCCGCATAATGACGTGATATAATATTTTTTAAAATTATTGTTCAAAAAAATAATTTAATGTGAAGGCAATAGGCAGAGTGTTACAGGCATAGCCCTAAAGAATGTAGCCGCATGGGCAGTGTAGCCCAGTTGTAAGTAAGCTATTAAGACTTGACTGTACACTGTGTTCGTGTTTTTCTCCTAAACAGTAAGTTCCATTGGAGCAGCCTTTCAATGCCTCTCTCTGTCTCACGCTGGCAAAGTTGACCCAAAAAACAAAGTAAGGAGGAGGAGTTGGCCGTCCGACTGCGGTCTGGAGTGTGGGGCCTCCCTGCTGCTGCGGAGTCGGGGCGGTCTGCCTCTCCCCACCGCAGGGAAAAGGGTAACACCACCTGGGTCTGGGTGCAGTTCCCCCCTCCAGGGGCAAGGGTACCTAGACCCGGTTCGTAGAGTACGCTTGGGGAGTGTGATCATGTGTACAGCGTCTCTTTATGTCTGTCTCCACGTTGGTTGAGTGTGGAGTAAGTGCATATGAGAGCATGAGGGTGGGAATGGATGTTTGTATCTGTGTGTGCCTGTATGTCTGTGTCTATATGTCAGGTTGGGTATCAGACGCCACCTCTCTGGAGACATCTCAGGCCCTCTAAGGTTTGGAGGCCTATCTCCCCCCACCACCACTTCCCCTGCCAGTGGCGGACTCCCTCAGACATCGGTGCGTTGGTGGTTCTTTGTGTCTGGGGATGGGCGTCCAGGTACACACCGGCTCACTCCTTGGCGGCCGCTTATCGGGGCCTGGAGCCTGGGGCTCGCTCGGGCCACTTCGGAGGTGGGGTGGCCCCGGCCTCTCGGCCTGGGGCTCGGTCACTCAGGCACAGCTGGCTGCCGACGGAGCTCACGGGCGCGTCACTGCAACTCCCCCTGGCTTCTGCTCCGCGGCTGCTGAGTGAGCCCTCATCTGGGACTCTCCTCAGCTCTTTCTGGGACAGTGGCGCAGCTGCCCCTCTGTTAGTCTTCCTTGGTCTCTTGTGTTCTGGGGGCCTCTGGATGTCTGGAGTTTTGATCTCCTCCACACCTGCTTCATGCCCTGGAGGACGGGGCTGTGGCCCCCCCACACCTCTAGCAGATCATTACATGAAGGAACCTTTTAAAAAAAAACAAGCGCGTCCATGCTCACAGGTGTACACACGGGTGATCACACCCACAAACTACACCCTTTTTGGCTCCTACCTCAAAGCACACTGTGTTCTGTTGATCTTATGTGCTGCACAATAATGTTTAATATTTAGTATTTACTGTCATATTCCCATATATCATTGTGATGTTGTTTATTCTATTACTCTTGTTCTCTTCTGCTTGTTTTCTTTTTTCTTTCTCAACAGGTGATCCAGGTGATCGATATATGCATTTTTTTTCTTTTTTTTTCTGCTCATTCTGTTGGTTTTTGTTTTTTGCCCTTCTCCCCCGTCCCTCTTCTCAGCCATTTCTCTTTCCCTCTTTCTTTCTCCCTTTCTTTCCCCCAGTCAAGTCTGTCCCGTATTCAGTAAGTGAAAATAAAATAAACAATAAAAGGTGAATCAAATGGACCATTATGGCAAGGCTGGGATGGTCAATTTGGTAAAGTAAATCCGTTGGGCATCTTTCTTTGCCTTTAGGCAATAATTCTGATGGCAAAAGAGCCAAACGGGACAGGCAAAAAAAAAACCAAAAAAACAAAGTAAAGCTAGTTTTTGGTTACGGGCCTGACACGGAACCAACATATTAGCCAGAGGTCCCTTTACTATGGTTCGGAGCCGTGGAATTGTTTTATATACGCGCTGAATAGTTTTCTACACGAGATCGCTGCAAAAAGTGCAGCCTTACCTAATATCCACCCTACTGTCACTCATTTTATTCTAAGATTTAAAAATCTAGTTGGTATTGATGTGGCGAGTATCCTTCAGTAATAGTAATAATTCACACAGCAATAGTACATTCAAGTAGTTGTAAAAAGCTTGATAATATATTCAGTAACCAAAGTATTCAGAATATGTTACTCTCATTGAGTAATTTAACGGAATACGTTACAAAATACATTTTGCAGCATGTATTCTGTAAACTGTAGTGGAATGTCACCTTCCCAAGACTGTTTTTAATTAATGGTAATATACTTTGATACTGAAAAAAAGAGATGCAATCTTATTATTGAAATAGGGTTAGGTGAGCTGCAGAAAGGTGCCTAAGAAGTACGTCAAGCTGTCCATACCTGGGGTCTTGGAAACTGCCAAGCAAAGAGTCACAGCCTTGCCCAGCCACTTGAAGAGGTATACCAAAGAGTTAGAAGCCAGGAGAATAAATCAGCTGTTTTCCACTGAACCATCCAAGGTGTACTCTCATTGGCAGGGGAATAATATGAGAACAGTTCCACCAAGGCTGGAGACAGACCAATACTGGAAGAGCATGTGGGAAAAGGACGCAACCCATAATGGAAATGCCCACTGGCTAGAGGATCCAAGAGCAGATCACAGCAACCTCCCTGAACAGGGACCAGTAACCATCACAGTGGCAAACATCCAAGATTGGGTCTCCAGTACGAACAGCACCAGGCTATGACATAGTTCATGCCTATTGGCTGAAAAAGCTGACTGTACTACATGAGCATCTGGCAATACAAATGAACCAGCTACTAGTTAATGAGACATACCCAGAATGGCTAACTCATGGCTGGACAGTCCTGATCCCCAAGGACATCCAGAAGAAATGAGTCCCATCCAACTCCCAGCGAACAACCAATGACGAGACTGGCTATGGATACCAACTATGGAATGGAGCATCGTCAGCCACCTCCTCTACATGGATGATATCAAGCTGTATGCCAAGAGGGAATGAGATATCGATTCACTGATCAACACCACCAGGAACTACAGCAAGGACATCGGAATGTCGTCCAGATTGGGGAAGTGTGGTCAGATGGTAACAAAGGCTACGTTCACACTGCAGGTCTTAATGCTCAATTCCGATTTTTTTGTCTGCTTGTTCACACTACAAATAAAATGCGACAGCAAACACGCTCTAGTGTGAACCCTCAAAGCGGCCCGCATGCGCAAAAGAAGACGTCACACACAACGCGCTCTGTTTAGACCAAGATGGCCCTTAATATAAAGACTTCGGACTTTACGTTTCCCAATTTTTGCTTTAAGTTATTTTGTTATTTACATTATTATGTAAATAGCCTAATAATGATCCTAATTGCTGTTTTAGAGAGGAGCGGTGCTTCAAAGGATAGTTGCAGATTTCTGTCAGAATCTGCAGATTATACAGTACAAGTAACATGTTCACGTTTCTCCAACGTTGTCTTCCCAACAGTTTCACTGACATCTACGCTGGATGGTCAGGAAGTGTTCGTGATGTCTTCTCCGGCGCTGATAATTGGCGTCTGTCTTGTGTCAGTGTCGTAAAAGACGGATTTAATGCGACTTGACCATTCAAACAGCAGTCGCTTTCTAAAACATCAGATATGTATCGGATTTAGTACCACATACGAAAGTGACCCAGATCGGATTTGAAAATATCGGATTTGTGCCGTTCACACTGTCATACCATGATCGGATATGGGTCTCATAGGGTCAAAAAAAAAAAAAAAAAAAAAAAAATCGGATTTGATGCGCTTTCACCTGCAGTGTGAACGTAGCCAAAGACAGGGAAGCTTGTTAGAAGTGAGGGGATCAAACTACCAGAAGGCAACGTTGCAGAGATCGAGGATACCTACAGATAGCTAGGAATCCCACAGGCAAATGGGAATCACAGAGAAGCCACTAGAAAATCTGCAACCACCAAGTACCTGCAGAGGGTCAGGCAAGTCCTGAGGAGCTAGCTGAACGGTAAGAACAAGAACGGGCTACCAACACCAATTCCCTGCCTGTGATCAGGTACCCTGCTGGGATTATAAGCTTGCCAAAAGAGGAGATAAAAGCCACTGACATCAAGACGAGGAAGCTCCTGACCATGCATGGAGGGTTTCATCCCAAGTCCAGCACCCTGAAACTGTACACCAAGCAGAAGGAAGGAGGGCGGGGATTAGTGAGTGTCAGTACCACAATCCAGGATGAGACAATGAAGAGGAGGAACCATCATGGAATGACAGGCCCTTGCACAGTATGTACCACAGGCAAATAGAGGAAGTGGCTGACATACAGAAATCCTATCAGTACCCAAATCCTACTCTCAGCACAAGATCCATAGAAGCATAGCGGCTTGGCTCTACCACACCAGGCAAGACCCCAGGTGCAGGCTGTGTAAAGATGCCCCTGAGACAATCCAGAAAATAACAGCAGAGTGCAAGATGCTAGCAGGCAGAGCACAGTCCTAGGAACAGCAAAGTCAAGTCAAGTAATTTTTTCCCAGAGAACTGATCCTCATTTGATATTTTCTTTTTTAAACGATTCTTTATAAATCTACAGATGACTATGTAGGAAAATCCCTGCAGATCAGTAGTTCATGAAATACTCAGAGCAAGCTGTCTGACACCAACAACCACACCATCTTTCTGCTTTAGAATATGGTCAGCAGTAACAGGTAAAAATAAATGTACTCAAACTGAGGTCTGTGTGGCAAGATCAAGGATGGGTCAGGATTTTATTTATTTATTTATTTTAGTTTGAAGCAGGATGTAGTCTGGACTTTTTGCAGACCACTAAAATGTCCTCACCTGGCTTGATGATTCCCGGCCAGTAGGCGATGGCAGGTTCTCTCATGCCTCCCTCATATGTGGTACCTTTGCCACATTTCAGAGGACCAGCGTTGCCTCCACGGGACATACGCATCAGTTCAGGCCTACATGTAGAGAAAGAAAGCAGACACCATTAAGAAAAAAGATAAATGTAATATCGCAATAGTGCAAAGATTTCTAGGAACTTGACTACTGAACAGAGGAAAAAAATTTTCTCGAGGGTGGTTAAATGTCAGCATGAGGAATTAAACTCCAAAACTCTAGCGCATTTCAGTCATCATTGTTGTCTCTAAGTTATGTGTGGTAGTTTTAAGAGTTTGACAAGAAGGCAACTGGACTTCTTTAATCTTTTAATTTCTAAATGTTAACAAGTCCTGAAAACTAACCCATTGTCTGATGTAAAGAAGACCAATGTGTTGTTGATCACTCCTGTCCTCTCCAGAGTTGCCATCAGGTGGCCTACAGTGTTGTCAAACTCCAACAGAGAATCCCCAAACGGACCCCTTAAAGATTGTCCAGCTGCCCCTATACCTGCATACTGGGGGTAGTGGGTGTGCTGAAGCAAGAAAACAAGTGGTTATTAGTGTTGTTTGAAATATTGACTCTTTCAATGCCGCATATTTATATTCTAGAAGTGACTGATCATATTAAAATACTGAAATTTGAATAATTGGGGATGTCTTTTAAATGACAAATTCGAACACATTGGAAAGTAACTACTATCTATCTACAGAGGACTAGGAAATGTTTAAATTATCCCAATTTAAAAACTCTCAGACATGCACAGTAGTTGATATTTACCATTATGAAAACACATTTTTAGGCATTGATTGCACTCAAAGGTTGATTTTGCACACTTTAATTCATGCATTTTCTTCAGATTGCTCTTGTTGCTCACATGTGTTGGATAGTAGAGGAAGAATGGTTGTTTTTTCTCAACCGATGTGGTTATGAAGTTTGTTGCAAAGTCACTGTAACTCCTCTCCAGATCCAGGAAGTTGACGGGTTGTTGTTTGATGACCTCATTCTGCATTAGCGGGACGGTTACAGTGTTAATATCACACACTCCATAGCACTTTATATCTGGAGGGAAACAAGTCAGATTCTTACAGGGGCCCTGGGGAAGAAAAGACAAGATAGAAAAATTAACAGACAGCAGTACAGAGTGAAGAATAGTAAAGTGAATATAGTTTAAAAAAAAAAAAGAAAGAAAAAAAAGACAATTTTAAGTAGCACAGACTGGAAACACACTGACCATGTCATGGGAGTATGGGATCCCCAGGAAATGGTCAAAGCCCTGCTTGGTTGGAAGAAACATGCCATTGTGTCCAAGCCCTAAGTGCCACTTTCCTATGACTGCTGTAGCATAACCCAGGGGCCTTAACACTTCGGCGATGGTGGTCTCATTGAGAGGAAGACCACCTATAGATCCTGGGTACAACACACCTGGGTAGATTCCTGACCGGGTCTGATAGCGACCTGTCAACAATGATGCCCTTAGAAAAAAACAACAAACAAGGCAGTTAATTAACAGAGCAGTGGAAACATTTAAAGGCAACTAGGCAGCTATCGATTATTTTAGTAACTGAGTAATCTATTTATTATTCTATTGATTAATCGAGTAGTTGGATAAGAAATACCTTTGTCTTATTAATGAGCAATAACAAATATTCAAAAGGGACAGAGCACAGGTCTTTCAAAATGAACTGCTCATTGGTTTCCATTTTAGAAATTGCAATGTCTTAAAGTTTTACTGCATACAACATTTGCGCCATAACAGATGTATGATGGTGTAGATCAGAGGTCCCCAATCTCAGTCCACGAGGGTCAGTGTCCCTGCAGGTAAATTACCTTCTCAACATGCCTTGAAGTTCTCCAGAGGCCTGGTAATGAGCTAATCATGTGATTCAGGTGTGTTGACCCACGGTGAGATCTAAAACCTGCAGGGACACCGGCCCTCGTGGACTGAGAATGGGGACCCCTGGTGTAGATGTTAATAATTAAGATTAATAATAGTTCAGTGTTCAGCCTAGCCACTGACCTGAAGGTTGTTAAGAGTTTTACTGCCCAAGTACATTTATATTAGCCTGTGAGAAAAGCTTTTATTTTTATATTTTAACATTTTAATGAAATTAAACGAACACAATATTTTATATAATTTCACTTTCAATCTGAAAAATGTTACGAAAGCTTGAAATTATTATGGTCTTGCATACCCCATGCCCCCCTTTAGACTCCCCCCTGTCTCTTGCAGGTATGCTTCCATGTAAAACCACCGACAGCCTTCAGCACGCCGTATAATTTAACCAGTCAGGTATCAGACTAAGTTAACAGTTCATTTGCATATTTTAATACAACTTCTGCAGGCTACAAAGTTCACTTTTTATTCACGTCGGCGTTGATCAGATGCTTTGGTGAAGGACTCCCGCTAGTTTTTTCCAGGAAAAGGTTTTAATGGTTTTAATGGTGAGTACAGGAACAGTGCTACTGTTTTGGACACTAGAAACATGTTTTCTGTGTTTTTGTGTAAAATTGGAGGCTGTGTGGTTAATATTTGTCACAATGTTTATTTACACACTGCTCCTAAATACGTTTGTATTGTAGGTCTGTCTTCAGTCGCGAATGTGGGTGAAACGCTCGTGTTTATATCGTTTTATACATCGCCGCCCTACAGAGCTGTTCCATTAAAAGAAGTATCAAAACAATGAATTTGTGTTGAGAATTTTAAAAAATTGAATTATTTGAATTACTCGATCAATCGTTTCAGCCCAAGAAAAATTTCATGTACTTGATGAAAACAATAGCAATCTCTTCTTCTTTTGGCTGTTCCCTTTAGGGGTTGTCACAGCAGATCGCTTTCCTCCATCTCACCCTATCCCTTCTGTAACACCAACCCAATGCATGTTCCTCTTTTCTCCTGCCTGGCATCTCCAGCTCCATCTTTAACATCCTTTATTGAAATGGTCCTCTACCCCTCACTATTCCTCATGTGAATATGTCCAAACCATTTCAACCCTGCCTAACTAACTTTAACTAATCAACTGTCTCCAAATCTGAGTTAAAAATGATGATGATTTGTAATCCTGTCTGTGCTGGTCATTCCCAATGAAATCATAAGATATCTAACTGCCACTCACTCTTTTTGGTGTCACAAATATCACAAATCACCCCTGATATTCATCTCCACCCACTCCACCCTGCCTGCACTTTCTTCTTTAACACTCTTGTGTACGGTCAGTTGCTTTGGATGGTTGACCCCAGGTATTCTCCATCTTTATTACCTCTACTCCTTGTTTTCCATGTTCACGTTTCCGCCTGTCTTCCGCTCATTTGTTTCTTCTGTTTTGCTTCTACTGATCACAATTCCATCTGTTACTATCATAGTCCAAGAAGACTCCTGCCTGACCTCATCTGTCAATCTATCCATCAAGGCTTCAACGATTCAAGTAACTCAAAGAACTCAATTATTAAAAAAAGAAAATCTAATGCAATCATTTTTTTCATTTGGGTGCTTCATTATAATTTTATTGAACCAATCTATGATGTTTAAATTACAGGCTCTCCGCAGCTGTCCTACCTTATATGGCAGCAATACCTGCAAGAAGCAGGAGCATGGGGTATACTAGACCATACTTATTTGAAGTAACATTATTTTGGATAATTTCTATATTTTATAGAAAATAAATATATAAATTAAATTATATCAATACTTAAAAAATAAAAGGTTTATTTTTCTCACACTGCAGCCCAATAAAAATATACATGGGAGAGTAAAACTGAGCCACTGACCTAGGGCTGTTAGATTGGACACTGAATTATTATTCATATTCATTATTAATACATCATTTGAAAATTTGCTTTCTGCAGCAGGAAACGTTGCATCAAAGTAAAGGGCAAACATCAGTTTGTGAGAATGCTGATATGCTCGCTTTTCTTCATTGCAGTCACGCATAGCTCATTAGCTTGCACGCTAACCCACAGATACACATACACATGAACATAAATCAAATCCATACCATCCAGGAAATACAAAAATGTCAAGATTTTTTTTTCTTCCTCTTACTATAAGAAAGCTGTCATATGAACCCAATACGCAGGACCTGGGAGAAAAAACCTGAACTCAAAAACAGCTTTAATGCTGAAGAAGACAAAACACACACACACACACAGAGAGAGAGAGAGAGAAAAATCCTATGTAGTTTAATGAAGTTGCCAACTGAAACTATAAACTAGTTTCCATTCTCTATCCAATGTCACTGTTATTTTGCCCATCATAAACATTTCCTGTTTTTGACATGCCCTCCCAGGTCTTCCCACTTCTGTTAAGGTTTTTCTTTGTAATCTAATTTAATCAAATTGAATTTTTTTGTTTGACTATCTATCTATCTATCTATCTATCTATCTATCTATCTATCTATCTATGAATGTAAAATCCTCATAGAGATTAAACATTTATTTTCCAGGAATTAGGCCAAAGGGACAGCAGAAATTGCAACAATTATGCCATAACAGTTCTATAAAGTGATTAAGTGCCCAAAAAGGGCTGGATTGATTGTAATCTAGAACACAAAGTATACACAATAACGCACGTTTTATTCACACACGCAGTCAGTACTGATTACACTGGTACCTGGACGGGCTGCACACGGGGCAGGTGCTGTAAAAATCTGTGAATCGAAGCCCTTCAGCTGCCAGGCGGTCCAGGTTGGGAGTGAGTGAACTAGGATGTCCATAACAGCCCAAGTCCCCGAAACCTAAATCGTCAGCGAAGAGGAGGACGAAATTCGGCGGTGAAGCCGAGCAGGTGCACAAAAGTAAAATACCGAAAAAGGCGAAGCAGCTGGATCCCATGCTTTTCCGTCTTTAAGTCTGACTGATAATAAGGAAGCGGCAGATCTCTTAAAAACAAAATAGAACGTCACGTGCCAGAGGCCGGAAACGGCTGCACGCCGGTTATGTCACGGAATGCTGGGAAATGTAGTCTTAAGCATCAGATTAGACTAAAGCGCACAACCGTTTTTGTGTTTTTGTTTTTTTAATTTCTGCTTTTTAACGTTTAAATTAATATATATTTTTACAACCTATTCTCCTTCTTACAGCTCAACACCCAATGTGAAGACTTTTAGTTTAAATCCCCAAGTTCTGCATAGTGAATTAGGTCCAGATTTAATAGGTTAACTGACTGCACACAATCACACCTTTCACAAAGGTTTTAAAATTGTTTGTCCTTTGTTCATGGCTTGAAATGATCATCTTTCGGATTTTGTTGTTCCATTTTATTTTCAATGGAACAACAAAAGCAACAAAAATAAAAACACAAAAATACATACATACACAATCATAATTATCATTAACCAAATGACACAAAACAGTTAACACACTGCATCATACAGACACGTCCTAAGAAAGGCAGTTGAGTAATTTACTGGTTAGAGGTGTTCCTCTGTCATGTTTTGTCTCCTCTTTAAAATTCTTAATCTGAGGTCTCGCGGTCGAGCTACCGTCCTCTGTGGGAAGGTTGGCTGCTGCCACTGATTCGACTTGACACCTGGTCAATTACACGAGCAAGAGGAGAAATAAATCACTGGTGCATCGCTGCAGAAGCCAGCAGCATGAGTAGAAATTAATGTCACAGCTGATTTTCTGATGTAGAGACGGTACCAGGAGCTATTTGTTTATGTATTCTCATATACATGCTTCAGATAGGTGGACATGAAAACAAAAGTGTGGCTCTCCCTGCATGTAAATAAGGTGGCATTGTGTGAAAAGAATCCAAACATAGCACAGGCATGAGAACATTTAATATACGCTGTACATTCTCCAGTTGGTGTGAGTCTGTGTGTGGGGGGAGGATGGTGGCATTTCTGATGGTGATGGGGGGAAGTGGGAGGTTACAAGCTAGAGCCAAAAGCATAAATTAGTACATTTTACAGTGGGGTATGTATCATTTGATCAAGTCACTGTGAACTCCTCTGAAGTCCTGATGCACAATGGTGTTTGTGATATGTCTACCCGTTAGCTTGCATGCTGCCTTGCACTATTGTTTAGCCTTAGGGAAATAGATACTTTGATTTATCATTCACTTTCACATCTCTCCACAGTGCTGACCTACATTCAGCAGCAACTGTGGCTGTATATGTAAGAGAGAGGTAAGCAATGGGATAGAGGGGATGAAGATGCCTAATTAGAGATCCAGTTGTATCATCTGTTTCCTTGGTCTTTGCTCTGTGCTTTCTGTAACTACTATTTTCTTAATACAATCTCACACTCATCAAACAGTCCACAGTGATTAGTTCTGTGTGCAGACATATGTACGTGTGTGCATTCATGTCACTGTCTGCTTATGTGTGTAGCACATGACCCACTGAACTAAGCAAAAGTCAGCTAACACACACGCCTACACAAATGCACACATGGAAACTAAGGGAGAAACAAGCTGTTGCATGATGGAAAAACAAAGAAAACAACAGTCAGTTGGAGATTTTAAAACAGTACCTTGCTGCAGCAGCTCCCTTCATCTAATCTTCTCCAACACAGAGCACTCTAACGATCTCTGCTGGGAACAACAACCCTGGAAGGGAGGCAGTGATGCCCCTGCTCTTCCATCGAACATGTTCATTTTACATTTAAGACAAAAAGAAAAATCTAGTAAAGCTGTCATGCTCAGCTCAGGTAAACAATGAGTCAGTCATTAGTCTGGTAGAGCTAATGGAGCACCTACAGCCTACAGCAAAAATCATTAGAAGCAAATATTCAGTAATGACTGGTATACCTTTGCCACAACTAATAATAAATTTTTAAGGGTGTTTTCCAGACCCATCTAATGGTTTTCCATGAGTTACAGAGAAGAAGCAGGAGAGCCAAATGACAGTCTATGCACTACACAGGCTGCTTGCACTGTATTTTAGTAAAAGATGACTGCTCTGACCTTTTATTGCGAGTAAATGAAAACCATTGTCAGAAACAACACAGAACAAAACGAGCAGCTTGAATCAGCTGAGGCTGCAAAAAGTTTCTTACCCCCACTTCTTTCTGTGTGCTTCTCTCTCTCTCTCTCTGTGTGTGTGTGTGTGTGTGTGTGTGTGTGTGTGTGTGTGTGTGTGTGTGTGTGTGTGTGTGTGTGTGTGTCCCTACATGAGCTAAGCATCAGTTGCCAAGCTGTCTGGGACTGTTTCCGAAGCAGTGTCCATTGTTTGGGATTCAAATTTGGGCATCTTCATATAAAATGGATTGTCCCGCAAGAAAAACTAATCAGAATTAATGTCCCATGACAGGGTGTGTGTGTGTGTGTGTGTGTGTGTGTGTGTGTGTGTGTGTGTGTGTGTGTGTGTGTGTGTGTGTGTGTCTGTGGCTTGAAAAATCTTTTACAGTCTGTGGAAACAAAGTGTGTGTTCTTGCACTTGCTCTTCGAAAAGGCATGCACGTGTATATGATGCAAGAGCTTCAGGCAGACAGAGGTGTTGTACAAAACAACCCTGCACAGCTCATGGAGACAATGAATCCCACCATGCGCTGTCATCCCACAGGACAAAAACAAGAGAGAGGAGCCAGCCTCATGCCTGCAAGGAGATCTAATCCCCATACCTTTTTATCCCCTCTCCCCACCTCGCGCGCTCTTTTCTTAAGAATCAGAAACTCTTACAATTTTCTGCATGTTATAAAATCTTACGGTTTATTTGAATCTTCAGGAAGCACAGCAGGTGGTGAGTGGGATAAAAGCCAACACTAAAATAATTTTTATGAAAAACTCATTTTCACCTTGTTCAAAGTCATTTCACACAATATTAATGGTTGGAGGCTGCAAGTTAAACTGTGAAGGACTGTGGAGCAGTGTTCCTGGGCACGCCGCCTGTGTAAATCTGCGATATAATGTGCAGATAAACTGTTTTAACACCAGTGGGCGCCATGGGATCACATTTTCCCTTATTTCCTCAACCACTGAAAAGTGATTTTGAGAGAGAAAAGATTATTTTCTCTATCAGTTGATGCATCCGATTTAATGAGGAATAACAGGAAGAAAAAAATCTATCATATTACACAATAGATAGTTTGATAGATCGATCAATATATATTTCAGAACCATGGAGAGCTCCCAATACTTTGATTTCACTCTGCTCTGACAGCAAAATTTCTATAAACGACCTTGCCTTCTATCGCCTCGTCATCTTGCAAATACATTTGCAGTTCACAAATTGCAATATCTTTGAAGTTGCTCGTGAGAGAAGATGTAGTGATTGTGATGAATAAGCGTTTGTGATAAATAACCCAGAATTGTTTCATGGTTTTCATCATGAAATTAAGGCACATGCAGTTTCTTATTGTGATAAATGATGACTATTACAGATATTGTCAGAATAAAATTAGGAAACCACACTTTTGGTTAGCTTGAATAGCATGAGTACTACAAAGGCAAGGCAGTTGTGTGAGCCTATTTTGTAACAATCTACCATGTGAGTGGGGATCTAACAGTACTTTCAATGATAAAAAAGTCATTGTTATTCTGGCTTGTTAGCTGAGGGAACAGTGATAGAAAGCATCCTGGCAAATAAACAGAGGTTCATTGGTACAATAGAGGTTGGAACAGTGCACAGAATTATGCAATGAAATCTAACAGGTCTCCATGGAGCAACATGAGCTGAAGAACTCATAAATGTTTGAGGACCTGCTGGGGAAATATGTGCACGCCTTTGTCAACGGTCTCAGCTCACATGCTGAAGCTCTCATTGTAATATATACAGCAAAATGTTTTCTTCCACTTAAATCTACTGGAATTATTTTACAATCAAAAAGAGTGTCTCAGTCGTTTTTCCTTACTTGCGCACAAAATGACAGTCAGATGTAAACAACACCTGCCTGTCTCTGTGTGGTCTCCGCTTACTAAAGAAACACGGCTGGTGGTAATCATGACCTGCCCTCAATTCCCTCTACAACTGCCTGGTAATATGATAAAGAAAGACAGCCTGATTGGCCCTTCATGCCTACTGCCTTCCTCAAACTGCCCTCCGGCTGTCATCTGCTGCCATACTGCAAAGCTGCCTCCATGAGTGATTTATTCTTTTCCAGGCTGACTCCTGCATCACCCCTGCACTCATCATGCAGGCAAACAGACTTGAGAGATACACAGAAATGGCTCAAGAGGACAGGGCCTTCACAGAGCGAGATAACATTGACTCAAAATGGAATTTCTGCTGCATTTATGGGGATATGACATAGTAAAGTTTAGCAGAAAACATCTGATTAATGTTGCATGAGATAAATAACCAAAATGTGTATGGTTCCAGCTTCCAGATCCTCCATCCACAGCTCCGCTCACCTTGAGATGTGCCTTTGCTCAGCTTGTCCTCAGGGACAGAAAACTCTGTGCTTTGATTGTAAACAACCCTGTCCGAATTTATTATCATCTGCCAAGAGTGTGTAATCCCAAAGACCACTCCCTCACGTCTGTATTTCCATATTCATGAAAAATGTCGCTATTGAAAGTGAATTGTAACTTCTCTCATTTTCCAAGTTGAATTTTGCATTGTCATCACTCGTAATTGGGACGTTGGGCCCTAAAAGATGCAGTATGCTCCCTTTCCAGCTTCTTGTGACTGAGTAACACAGAACACTGGATGTTTGATCACTTCTCTTGTGCACTTCCTTTTGCCTTAGATGTTACATCACGGAAATCCATTTTTAAACGTATTCACATTCGATTCATCAAACAGAAGAAAATGATGTCAAACACTGACAGATGTCAGCAGAATATATCTCTCAATGGAAGATGTAAACAAGATTGTTGGTCCTTCATTAGCAGCTTCAGTGCTTTGCTAGGTTACAATATGTGACCAGATCACTCCTAATGACTGTGGAGCCACAAACAGTAATGAATGCAAAACGCATGAGCTGACTTAATGATTATTCTCCCATTTGAGAGTTTATCTTGATCAGCTGTCGGCAGATGTGGCTTCCTCTACAGCCCATTCTAGGTACAGAGAGAATCTGATAAAGGTGGATAGATAATATGCAAATAAAAAAGTAAAGGACTTCAAACATGCCATTTTTTGCGGGAACTGCAGGATGGAGTGTTCTCTGTACAGTTAACTTAAATAATGCTTTAGCTGGCCACATTTTTAGCAAGAATATAAGCAGAATATAAAGAGAGTGTAGTGTTTTTGTAATCGGCATGAGGATATCTGAAGTGATTTAAATGCATTTCTCAACAACTATAACTTTTCCTCCTAAGTTTTCCCTTCTCTGGCATTTTAAACTCACAAAGAGCTTAAAGACTTAAAGGTTTTGCACCACATTAACATGTTTGGAGAACAGATTATAAATACTTTGAAATATAATACATTCCAGTGCATCACCTCTCTAAAGTATGACCTTTCTGACAGGGTCTACAGCAATGATGTTGTATTGTTTTGCATTTTACACTATCATTGCTGTTCCTCAGGCTGTGCTCTTTTGGGCAGAGATCTTGGTGATTTCTGGGATCCACTGGAGCCACTTGCCCAGTTTGGGGGTCACAGGACATGAATACTGTATGTAACTTTAATGTACTATATAGATATATGTTCACTGGCTAATTTGTTTGTTACACCAGTTGAACTGTCACTAAGACAAATATCTAATCAGCATGATGGCATGACATGACAGCGCATTACAAGATGGTTAAAACTACCATGTCGTATGGATGTTAGTACCATATTTGCTGGTCTGCTGAGGTCCTAGGATTTTCCCACATAACCTGTGCTAAGTTTACAGCGAATCATCTGAAAAATAGAAAATATTCAGTGAGTGAGTTCTGTGTGTGAAAATGACTTGATGATGTCAGACAATAGAGGAAAATGGCCAAACTGCTTTGAACTGACAGGATGGCAAAACCAACTCACATCATAACCACTAGTTACACCCAAAATCTGAATGCATGCACATCCTGTTCAACCTTGAAGTATTTGAGCTAGCACAGCAGAAGACCGCTCATGACAGCTAAGAACAGGAAACTGAGGCTAACACACCATGTCACAAAGCTTAGGCCATCTTAAACTGGTTCCTTGAACATGACAGCAAGTTCACTGTTCTCAAACGGCGTCCACAGTCAACAGATCTCAACCTAACCGAGCACCTTTGGGATCTGGTGGAATCCTTAATTTGCATCTAGGATGCGCAGCTGACAAATCTGCACCATCTCCCTAATAATCTCATGTCAGTATGGGCAAAAAACTCTGAGGAATGTTCTCAGCACCTTCCTGAATCTGTGCCATAAAGAATTACAATGTTCTGGGGGCTAAATGGGGTCTAACCCGATACTACCCAGGTGTACCTAAACATTATACACAGGTGTTAAAGCAGTACCATTTTGGTATCAGTACTTCTCAACTGCATAATGAAGTTCACTTTTTCTGGCTTTAACTACCGTGAAGTGCAGTACTGCTCATGAATGTTGCTTCCACTTCCAGTGCATTATTCACATGGAATTCATCTGATGGGGAAGCTGGAAAGGGAGATGTAAATGAATTTAACAAGTAAAGCAATATAAAGTGTCTAATTATAGTTTCGACTTTGAATTTGCATGTCAAGCTATTATCTGCATCATTTGAGGAGTGGCTCTTCAAGGAGATAAATCTCACTCTCTGTCAAATGGGAATTTAAGCTATCATGTTGCAGATCAGCTCCCACACCTGAGGTTGGTCCACAAGCAGATCTAGAGCTTTGAATCAATTACCACTTCAATGCCCACAAACCCAGATCCCATTTCTCTCTGTCACGCTCGATAAAAGCCATTCCCTGACTTTCAGCGTACATTCTCTGTCTCTCAGTGCTGGAGCTGCTTTTCATTTGTTTCACAGATCTTTAAAAGTGTTGCCCATTTCACATTTTGTGAACTGACTCAGATCTCTTTCTGGAGTAAAATAACCCCATGCAGGTGTTAATGTCAGAGTTTAAATTTTGACTTTATCCCACACTGACCTCACTCTTTTTTTTCCTTTTGTTTTTTGAAGAAAAATTCAACCGTCAAACTGAATTACGTTTCACTCACTCAGCACTATTTTGTTTGGGTTAAAGATAACTTCATTGGTACAGTAGCACAAATCTTTTTCTTTTCTACACTTTACATTCATCTTGACTTCTGTTTATCTACAAAACCAAAATCTGTTTTAACAAAGATATATGTTGCTGTATTTTCCAGGGAATACAGTGCACATATGCACAGATACACAAATAGTTTTCTTACTATAGGATATGGAAGCCAGTTCTATATTGTTTTGATGAAAATAACAGTTTCACACTGGTGAAACAGACAGACTTGCGATCTTCATAAAAAAAATCCACTGCCAAATAAAAGGCAATAAAAAAATGATCAGAGTTCAAACACAGAGGAGGAAAATAGATTTAAAGACACCCATTGAATGCATGATGAGATCAGTTGTGTAGATTCCGCACATCACAGTAACGCTTGAATTAGTAACACATTGTCATAAATAATTCCCTGGACTTGAACCCAGTAATATAGACACACGTGGGTAAAAACATTTGTTTTATGCGGGCCTGATGTCTCATTACCCTCCGTCTATATGGACAGCATTTGACACTACTCAGCTGAAATCAGCAGCAGCTTTCCTTGAAGGTGACTCTCATCAGATTTAGTCAGCATTGTTCTGTTTCAACCATGAATATGTAAATTGTCCTTTTTGGCTCCATTTGAGATGAGATCAATTTGTGGCTGAAGTGGATTGACTCGTGGACTTTTAAATACCTAGAAATCTCATTGACATGAGTGACAGCCTCTGCCCTTCTCAGGTGGAGAAGTGAGAGGAATATTTGGACAGTTGAGTAAGCATACGTGAATGCGTGAGTGAGTGTGCAGGACTGTGTGGGCTGTGTGTGTGTAATGTATAATTGTACCAGCAAAGATCTAATGCTGCACCTTGGGAATGGTGATTATCTGGAGTAATTCCTAGTTCTTTTCATTTAAATCTGACAAATTGTCAGCCACAGTAATACAATTTTGCTACCTTTCAAAGAAAAGAAGAGATGGTACAGATCTTTATTGCACAGGGCAGGTAAACAATGGCTGGATCCCTTATAGGCACACACTCGCACAGAGCACTTCTCAATTATTAATGCAGGTGTGGATTACCTCTGCAGAGAGGGAGAGTTTACATACAGGTAAAGAGTGAACCATTTCACTCCATCTGCCCCATTTCCAATTCCACGTTCATCTCCATCAGACCCCCTCAGCCATATCAGTCAATCAGATTCTACAAGGGGACCTCTGAATCTGTCTCAGCATGCACAAACAAACACACAATGGTAGCTAATGACTGGCCAGTTGCTGAAAGGCTTGTCTCATTCCTCTTCTCACAGAGGAGGTATTCAGTCCCCCCCCTCCTGCTTGTGTTTGGTCTGCCCTAGACTGGCTCCTCGTGACTCAGTTAAGTCCATCTGCTTTTGAATGGTCAGGTATTGTTTCACTAACCAGGATCCTCTTACCTCACACAACAAAAGAGAGGCCATCATTCCATCCTTACACACACACATTCACACATGCATACATAGAGGAACAGACAGTGGAGAGCAGTCTGAGAGCAGCAGTCACATTTTTCCCAAGCGTCTGACTGGAAGCTGCAAGGAAATCACGTTGTATCCAGTATTTCAGAAGAGTACCGTGTCCTTTGTCTCAGTGGTCGGTGTTTCACGACTGCATCATTCTGCACTTTTATCCATTTTGTCCATGTGCACTTCTGAAGTAAAGTTGTTGGTGAGACTCTCTTCTCTTGAGGTAGGACAGAACAAATTAAAAAGCGCTGAAGTTGTATTTAATGTATATGTGATTATAACCAACTAATAATTATTAATCATCATTAAAAGCAGACTTGCATTCTTTACAGCAGCATAACACTACTGCCCTTAATTTGGCATATTTTTTTAAACTTAAATGCATGGCATTAGCATCGCCAGTTCACCATGACATTAGCCTCATTAATTTCACCTCTTTTTAAAAATTGCGCTCCAAAGGTTTTTTTTTTCCTCTTCTTAGAAACCTGAAAATGGACCAAAAAGCTGTTGCTGTTTCATAACAGGCTCAAAAAGCCTATTGACACACTGATATTCAGGAACAGCAATATGCCTAAATTATTATTCAGATTTAAAGTTTTTAATTTAAAATTTTAGGAAAGTAGTAATCTTATTCAACTATCTGAAGCAACAGGGATCAGCAAAATGATTAAGGACCGAATATCTCAGTACAAGATCCTTCATCACAAAAGTCTCAGATGTTCAATTAACAAATTTAATAAAGGAAGCTGTGTGGTAACAATAACAAAACCAGAAAAAAGTGACAGAGAAAAGCAGCAGCATGAGGATGTGGGTGAGAACCAGGATTTCTTTGAAAAACGAATAAAAAGAAAGCTTCCTAGTCTGTCCCAGGTCTTTTCTACATTATTTTAACCAAAATGTTCTTAAAAGTAAGGATTTAAATTTGTGATACTTAAAATACACCTTAGTTTAGTAAATGTAATGATCCTCTTGGATTCCTTTCATTGTTTGTGTCACATTTGATTATGAGTTTTAAAAAACTATAAAAATCTACAAACAGTATTTTAGCTCTCCTCCAGTGGATCATCATTACACTGCAGGAAATGGAGATAATCCCTTCCTCAGCAGGTCATACATTTCCCAATTTTTTGTAAATACTGGTAAATATTAACTATAATTGCACATGAATCAGCATATAACTGAATTAAAGAACACGGTGCTTTACTGAGATGTAATTTCATGCTGGATATGTGTGTGTGTATTAAATATAGCGCTGTAGAGGTATATCTATGTAAATCCCATTATTATTATTATTTAGCATTTTATGATGTTATTCCATTTTGCCAAAGGCAGGCATTGTTTTATTTATTGACTTAATCTATTTTATGTGGTTTATTTTAGGGCATTTTTTACTTTTATTTTGACAGGGACAGTAATAGAGAAAAGAGGAACAAACTGCAAGGAAACAATATGTTGCAGATGATCCTCAGCTCAAATCCATTGCTTGTTGGTTTAAGTGTCCAAGAAATCTAGACTTGAACACTTGAATGTACTCTTAGAAATCAGGTGTGGATTCTGGCATTTTGGGGTTTTTTTGCTTGGAGTTTACAACCTTTTCTGTGATAACTGACTGTGAACAGCAGAAGTGAGCTGCTGAAGTGAGAAGGTAGAAAATAAATATGAAATAAGAGTTGGGAAAAGTAGAATTTGCTTGTTTCATAGACTGGTAGGCTGAAGAATAAACAGCAGTTCAAATATCTCCAGAAGAGCTGTAAATCATTCACTTCAATTCAATTTAAATTTATTCATATAGCACCACTTCACAACAACAGTCACCTCGAGGTACTTTATATTGTAAGATAAAGACCCCACTGTAATCGAAAGAAACCCCAACAATCACACAGCCTTCAAGCATTGGCGACAGTGGGAAGAAAAAACTCCCTAATAACAGGAAGAAATCTCCACTTGTTGCAATAGGCTGGGCGATAGGACAAAGGGAAGGAAGCAGGGAGAGACAGGACAAAAGGCAAACTATAGGAGAGAGACACAGACTTAATAACTGCTAATGATTAAACTGAGTAGTGGTGTATAAACAAACAGAGAGTGATGTTTCTATATTTCCAAAACTAAACTGACACACAATAAAAAGAAGCGAAATTAAAATGTTTTATATGCTGTAGTAGCAAATGTGAGAGCTTGGTCAGCTGACTGACGCTGTACAAAGCCAGGAAGCCACAGGTGGTAAACAGACTTTGCTGACATACATTAAAAGAGTGAGTGGGCCCTCAGTGCATCCCTTCCTGATTGCCCTGATAAACATGCTCTCTGTACATCTTTTCTTCTTTCATCACTGCTGCCCTTAGGGCTCCTCCTCACCTTCGCAACCTCTCCATCTGTTTCAATTAGTAGGAGTGCAGGGTGGAGCGCAGAGGTCGATCACGCAGGCACAAGGCTGCAGGTGCACCTACAGTATAACACACAGATGTCACTCTGTGCCTATTAGTGGGGAACATTGTCACAGATGAGAGCATGAGGATGTTACTGCTATAACAGAGCTGGAAAATGTAGGTTTTGGGGATGCTGGGACCACTCAGGCACATGGAGACAGGCACTGAGTGACAAAGTAAAGCAGAACTAAATGCTATGGTGCAGAGATATACCCTTACCTTCTCTCATCTTCTTATCCCTTGCACCTACATCGAATTCCCTCATGCCTGCATTACACCATGTTTGTGGTTCTTTTTTTTAAAAATCAGACGGTAATGAAAACACCTCCCTGAATAAAGTGCAACAAGCTAAGAGTAATGGCTTAAAGCTGTTTATTTTATTCATTTTTTTTTCTTGTGAGTAAGTCAGTCTAGCCACTCTTAACAGCATGCACATCCTTTTAATGCAACCAGCATTAACTAACTACAATGTGCAAAGACATCAGGTATACTCAGATGTCCTTTTCAGTGGACACCATAAGAAAATAAGTGAAATATAGATATAAACGTTATACAACAGGATAAATGACGCTTGTTTGCTTTCTTGCCTTGAGTATGTATGAAGCTCAGGAGACAATTAGCTTTCCTTATGCTAAGCATACAGACTGGGAAACAGAAGGCTTCACTCTGTCTTAAAAAAAAAAAGTCTGCAGTAGAATATGTTCTCTTTTTTCCCCCCAATTATTTTTTCGTATATTTCTCTCCGGCAAGTGGAAATATTTAGAGAACTAAGATGCTGTTACCACAGGAAGGATTTGATTTCTCTCCAAATGCTCTCGCTGTCGGACAAAAGACCATCAGACAATCAAAGTTCTCCTGAGTTGTGTTTACTGTCAGTCGCCTAAAAAAAGTTTCTAGGGTAGTACTTTTAAATCCTAGAGTGTAATATCCATACTAACGCTGGACAATTAAAACTTAATCTAGCACCACTTTCAGAAATTTGTCAAACGTAGGGCCAAATTTGAAATCTGAAGAGTTTTATAATTATATTTTTACAGGTCCCAGATGCCTGCCAGTCTGTTTTCCTGCTCTTGCACAGAAACGAGTGACTGAGTCATATCATATTATATTCATCTCTCTGTATCTGCAAAAAAGCCTCTCAGGGTGCTGGTGCAGTCATGAAGGTGATCAAAACCCTTTAGATCTGTACATCTGCGTGCCCTGAAAATACCAGAAGTCTTACTGCTTCCTGAGTGTCAGCTTTGACCCAGCACTAAAATAAAGCCGAGGACCTCTGTGTTTGTGATGACCCTAATGAATGTCAGTCAGGTCAACCAATGGCAAAGTTATACTGAGGGCCTTCAGGGATGAGTGATAGAGGATGTGATACCAGCAGAAAAGAGTCAGATGCTCTTTTGACTCTCTCTCAGTCGCAGGGAGGAATGCTAATGACATTTTCCCTGAAGAACTGAAGAAATACAGGCAGAGAAAAACTAATGACTCTCTATCTCTGTGGTCATAGCAAGCCTGCGGACAGCTTGTTAAATCTCACAGCAGACCAACAAGATGTTACTCAGAATGCTTAAAGCCATCTGCACACAGAAAATGTCTGGCATTTAAAAACAAACGTAAAAGAAACAGGATCCATGATAACAATACCAAAGAATTTAGAGGGTCGTCCCCAGTGTGTTTGCCCAGAAATGTGGGCGTAATACACAAGGACAAGATATAAGATTGAGCCATAACTAAGTATATTTTCATTGTTGATATTTCTATTATTTCAACATATATATATTTCAGTTCCATTAACTTGTTTGGGTGTAAAAATTTCAGAGGAAAGCTTGTCTATCAAAACATTCTCCTAACAGAAACTCTAAAGGTCATTACTTAGTGTTCAGTGTTGTGCAGTTATGTATTCAATAACTTCATACACAGCATGTACACACAAAATGCCTTTTCAGCTTTTGTTGCCACCTAAACTAATATCTGCTATCATCAACGCCAGGAGGCTGAATAATTGGTTATATTAGAGTCTCTTCCTATGAGAATCCTGCCATGATTAAGAAAATTATCATACCCTAGTGTGTTATACAAATATGCATTCATGCACACACATGCAAATGCGCACGTACGCGAGCGCGCGTGCGCGCGCACACACACACACACACACACACACACACACACACACACACACACACACACAACAGAATCAGAGTTCAGGAATTATGACTGAAATGACTCTTGTTGAATTGGGGTCATTCATTTATTGTACCAACATTCCTCTGACTGGAGCTCAACTTCCATCAGTACCCTTACAACTAGTAGTTTGCAGTACTTTATTGTATTTAGTTCAAACACGCAAATACATGTTGGAGAAATATTGGATGGGCGAGCAATATAACAAAATTACTCTCCTCCGGAGAAGATTTTAGTGCCATGAATATAGCAGTTGTTGTTTCAGCTCAACAACAGGCAATTAGACTTTACAAAGAATAATTTCTCCCAATCTGACACCGAGTTTCTCTCTGTAGACAAAACAAATTCTGTAGATGCCTCTCCTTCATCCCTTCCTGCAGAACAATGCCTGTAGGAGGCTCGAAGAATGACTGATGGTTTGTCTTTAACAACAGTTGACTAGGATAAGGTCGGGACTTTGGGGCAAGACTTACAGTAATCTGACACTTTTAGGGACCGTGTATCTGCTGCATCTCTCCTATATCTCATTTAATTTTGCTACTGCATGAATAGAAGAAGTACAAAGAAAAGACAGAGGTCAATGAAATTGTGGTTCATTACTGTTCCCGTGTGTATCTGTGTTGACAGCAGATTATTCTTAAAGGCTTTGGGCAACAATGAAAGGGCAGCAACAAGCAACAACACAGTAGTTTATTAGGCTATCCACAGGTATACATAGATTCACAAATGAATTAGTTGGTTTTTTTTATAGAAATATGGTTTGCACTTAGATAGTATCCAACAGCTGTGTTTTGTGATTTCATTACCATTCAGATTGCAGATAAATAGCAGCACATTATGATATATTCATTGATACAATTTAAAGAGTTTACAGATCATTTACTGAAGTAAAAGGAAAAACTTAAAGAATCTAAAAATGCTTAATAAATTTTTTTTTTAAAAATCTGCATTTAATCTCTTAATAAAAATAACTACTATAATACCACTGTTATACTCTTATCATTATACTTTACTTTAACTTGTCCTTAATGTAAATATGTAAGAAAAATTGTGTATGTTTCTGTACTCTTTGTTTGTGTATGTGTCTTTTTGGCTGCTGTTACAACCAAATTTCCCCTTGTGGGACAATTAAAGGATTATTCTATTCTATTCTATTCTTTACCTACAATGCAGTGAAAAAACATTATTGACTTTCCCCAGCATGCTTGAAGCAATGCAGATAAAGTTATGTTTCACATTTTTATTCACATTTTAATTGAAAAATAAATACTCGTGTTGGATAAAATAAGTGCCACCACTAAATTTATCTCAAATTCACATCCATACAGGGCTTCTAGATGGTTTCCCAGGGATGAAAACCACATGAGGGAGTGACAACGCTCTGTTATTTAGACCTTTGACAGGTAGGATCTGCTGTTCTCTTGAAGACTGTAATTTCTGAACGGGTCTCTGAGTTCTTAAGAAAAAAAACTTTGAGTCTATGAAGGGATTTCAATTTTAACTGTATAAAATTTCACTACAAGGAAAATCTGCAACAAAAAGGGCATCTCAGTCCAGTAAATTCAACAGAAGAGCAAGCAGTGTGGTACAAAACAAAGGTTTTTAGAAAGTCTGTGAAATGATCTACTTCTTGTCACAACGCTTGCAGTTGTGACAAAGTGCCTGTAGGCATGTTTAAAAGGAGATTTTTTTAAAATGACCGGGAGAAGAGAACGATCTGTCTAAAAAGAGCATTAGAATAAAACTACACTTTGCCAATAAACATTTGTTGAAACTGGGCCTTTTGGAATCGTGTGCTCTGTATAGATCGACGAAACTTTTATTTGGCGACAGTAACAGAAGGGATGTTTTTGCACACATGCAAGATGTTTTTCTGGAGAAGACTGTCATAGCCACTGTGAAGCATGTTGGAGGAGATGTGGAAGTTTGGTGTTATGTCAGTGCCTTAAGGAGTGGGCAGCTTGAAGTCACTGATCTCAACGTGAATTCTGCATCTTTATAAAAAGTGCTTGATGATAACATGAGAGCATTTATATAAAAGCTGGGTTGACATCTTGTCTAAAGGAAAAAACATAGTTAATACATTTGATCCCATTTTGAGGTTATTGCTCTTTTCTCTTTATTTATTGTGTAACACATATCACATAATGCAAAAATACTTGGATTCCCTTACGTCTCTTAGTCATCACAGTGACACTATTGGTTTATTGTCTTACTTGTGCAGGGTCATGTAAGTTGTGACTGGCTAATTCATAAAGGTCACATTAGATCCCCTCGGCTCTGTTCTGAGGTGTTTGGTGCCTGTGCTCCCTGGTTCACCACTCCTGCTGATGTGATCTTCACTCTAATGACAGTGGTGACTTTGCCACAGGCTTTCCTGTTTCTCTCATTTTCACTGTCATTTTGTCTCTTCATCTCTTTCACTTTTGTTTGCCCTCTGTCTCTCCTTCTTCTAGGACTGATTTAACATTTAACATCAGAATGACCCTAATGTGGACAAGTAAAACCAACTCTTCTGCATGTCTTATGTCTTTCTCAAAAATTTTTTCAAACAAGTTAGAAAAGGCACGGTGGCACGGTGGTTAGCACTGTTGCTGCACAGCAAGAAGGTCCTGAGTTCAATTCCACCATCAGGCTGGGGTCTTTCTGTGTGGAGTTTGCATGTTCTCCCCGTGTTTGCGTGGGTTCTCCCCGGGTACTCCGGCTTCCTCCCACAGTCCAAAAACATGCAGTAGTGGGGATAGGTTAATTGGTCAATCTAAATTGCCCATAGGTGTGAATTTGTGAGTGCAAATGGTTTTCTGTGTCTCTATGTGTTAGCCCTGCGACAGACTGGCGACCTGTCCAGGGTGTACCCTGCCTCTCGCCCTATGACAGCTGGGATAGGCTCCAGCGCCCCCCGCGACCCTGTAAACGATAAGTGGAAGCAAATGGAAGTACCAAACATAATAAAAAAGCACAATGCCCCGAGAACCCCAATAAAATATACAAAATTAAAACGTTGCTCTAATGTTAAAAAATAAAACATTTCCCAGGTTTGAGTGCAAATAAATATTATTGTGTTAAAGCTGAAAAAAATAAAAGGCACCACTTAATCAACATAAGAGACTGTAGAAGATCCAGAAGACTTGTACCCACTATACAGAGTCTTTTAAGTAACTTTAGAGAGGCCAGCGCTGGCGTCATGAGCCCCCCGGGCTTGGTCTTATAGTAAGAAGACAGACTGCAACAAGTTGGATGATCTTTATTGCTTCTTGATGAAACCAAGTGTCGCAAGAATTGCAGTAATTAAGTCATTGATTTAAAAAATCTAAAACAAATTCACATTTGAGTTAGATGGATGTTTAAACCAGTAGAGAGCACAGATAGATGAATGTTAATCATCGAGTCTACTTTTTAAAAGGTTGAGTCAAGAACCAAGATAATAAAAATGTCAATATCTGCCATCTGTTATGGCACAGAAATAATATTTAGTGCCCTTAAGAGAGATTCTTTGGTGAGGGGGGGAGGTAGATTTAGAACTACTCAAAAAATTAGAGCCAGGACGTAACATTGAAATTGTTAATATACTACTGCTGATATGGATCCAGATCCAGTTTGTAGTACAGGCCCGAAAGTGTTAACAGTATTTCCAAAGGTGAGCGATTCACTGACAATAGCCAGCTAAGGCCAGGGTCTGACAGTAACCAGAACCTGTTTAACAAAGTAAATGAGACAGTGGTTATGACACGTTCCACTGAGGTGATCAGAGAGAGGAGTGTGAACTTGTTAAGCAGGATTAGCTCTATCGATACCCGCGCAGGGAATAATGACTGAAATATTGATGATATTTATCTTGTCAGCAACAAAATTTGAAAAACAGTTCTGAAACAGTATTAAAACAGGGATGTCCTACGGGGAGGCATTTAAGAGATGGCATCTGCAAAAAATAATAACTTGGAATAACTGAGACTTACAGAAAGCTTGCTGAAATAAGATCCCCTGAGCTTTTGCAGCTTTTTCACGTGGAGTTAATAAATCTACTGTTTGGAGTTTTTTCACATGTAAGATTCTCGAGCCAATAATTTTATCATTTAACCAGGGAAGCAGATAACTAATTGCTTTTTGTCTAGACCTTCAAGGGACAACCAAAAATTGAAGACCACCAGCAACACATATGCAAGTGCAAGCAGTGTAAGATTAACGTGAAACGTGAGTTGATTTTTTACCTCCATGAATTTTTTTACTTTTTCATTTAGCAGCCCTCTGTTACTGTTGCATGTAACAGCAGTGTTACTATTGATTGAATGTGGTAGACGTACTCATTCAATATTTCGCACACGTGATTGATGAATGCTACTGTTGGTAGATGAGAAGTTTGTTTACATCTATTAATCGTGCAAGTGATCAATAGAACAAGAGGCTTAATAAACCCATTGATTGTTTTCTAATGTAATTCTCTTGCAACGGCCACATCATTTAATTTCCCTCAGATCATCGCACTGGAATAGAGGCGTAAACGTTTTGCTTTTTCTCTGGTAACTCTTGCCTCCGTTAATTGAATGCAATGTTCTCAGTCATAGAACTCTTGCATGAACCGTGTTGTAGAACTGATATAAAGATACAAGGTTCATCGGAGCCTAAAAGAAGAAGGATAATAATTATAAATACAGTAAGTTGAGGATAGCTGTGTGAAAAAAACAGGTAGTTGGTCAACATGTCAGGCTCTTCTTTCTGCTACACTTCCACCACTGGGGCCTTTCTGTTAGTCTCCTGTGTGACATCCACCTATGGCAGGGGTCTCGAACTCCAGTCCTTAAGGGCTGGTGTCCTGAAACTTTTCCATGCGTCCCTGTTGCAACACACCTGAATAAAATTAGTATGTCATTAGCAAGAGTATAGAACTTGACTGCATTCTGAGGTGGCAACCACTAACCCTACTCAAGTAAATTTAACTAAATGTAAGTGTTTAGAAAAATGTACTTCTAAAAGTACTTTTATTGCACCATGTTCATTCTCTTATGAGCTGCTGTAACATGAATCAAATGGCTGAATTGCCACCTCAGCAGGCAGTCAAGTTCTACAGAGTCTTGCTAAGGACAGTGGCCCTCGAGGACTGGAGTTCGAGACCCCTGACCTATGGAAACACCTCTGTGGGGCATTGGGGTAACTGGTGCTTAACTCCAGTGTATCTCCTGACAACAGAGCAACAATTTTTGTGATGATTTCACTCTCCACTATGACACCAGCAGAACAGAAGTTACACCTTAGGCAAATAGACCGGCTGGCACTCTATCACCTTTGTGCAGTATGCAGCGGCATTTCACACATCGTTGTGCCACAGCAGTTGTTCAGTGAAATATCTGTGCAACCCAGTTGGCGGCCCTGCTATTTACCTAGTGTTTGCTTCTAGGTTGTTCTCAAGTTTCTCACAGTAATTAGCACTGAAACATCTGATCTGCAGGTTGCATACTGTGAGCAGTTGTTGGTCTGCCTTTTCGGGTGATAAGTGGCTATATGTCCCTGACTGGTTTGTCAAGTTAAAAGGAAATAACCCACACATCTGGAGTTCTTCAGTGCTAAACTTGACTGCTTGTTTAACCACAGGCATGAATGAAATTAATCTTACTTTGACAGCTCATGTTTTAATGTTTACAGTCTTGCTTTTTTTGTGTCACATGTATCATCTTTGACTCTGTACACCATGGCCTAGTGTGTCTGTGTAGGGTTGAAGTCTCAGCAAAGCTTTATACACAGAATAACTGCTCTTGTTTTCAGATGGTCGAATTTTTCATCAACCTGATGCCCCCTTATTAAAAGCCCCACTAGTTAACATAATTAAATAGCTCAATTATAATCAGTGAGAGCTGGAACATTAGCCTGAGCTATCATGGAGCCGATGGAAGGCTCAGTAGCAGCTCCAACCTGCTGTTTACAGGCAGAAAGAAGTCACGGGCCTCAGTGTGGTTGGGCTCAGAAATGAAAAAAAAAAAAAAGCACAGTTGGACATTGATTGAGAGGCTGCAATTTACATACTGCAGAGATTTTGGACAAGTTCTCTGAGAATCTCGCAGCTTCTGCTCCTGAGGTTTCCATACATAGAAACAGGATGGAGTGATAGACAGACAGACACCGAATATGCTGGAAGGAAAGGACACACAAAGCCAGGTACCCATAGAAACAGACAAAGGAATAGGCAGACAGACAACAGTCGTGCATGATTGTGCACACAAACAAACTGGGAATGAAGTAAATCCAATTACAGAGAACAACAGGGGGGCACATAAAACAATACGGTTGTTACACCTTCAATATCAACAGTATTAACAATGCCTAGCCATTACAAATGGAAGAAAATCAGTAATAGGAATTTGATGATTGCAGACTGTTTCTGACTGAATTATTGTGTTTTGTTCATATGAAA